ATTACAAACATTGGTTATTTGTCATTAAATGAGTTTGTTGATTGCCAACCTTTCTTGTCATAAAGATTATAAGGGAAAAGTCTTGCTTAATTCGCCGACAAAACATCCAGTCAATGCGCTATATAGTAAACTAGCTGTACCTGTCGCAGCTATGCTTGCAACCAGTTTCATTTAATCGTCCATCTCTCTTTCACTCGGGAATTTTATTTGTCCTTGAAAGGCTTGATCTTTGCTTCATAGGCATATTTATCCCTTAAGATTAAGAAAATGGGCTGTTGTTCACATATTTGCACACATATGCTTTTAGGAGGGCTCCTGTTGAACATGTAGATGCAATGGGTATGCATAATTTTTTAATATAGCTCATCAACGATAGGAGATTTCCCCCCCAAAAAATATGCCCCTGACACTCCCCCATGCAAGACATTTCCGATGAGGTATAAATCATGTATGGTTATTGCGCTATTGGCAGACACACAGACATTTTGTCTTTATTAGTATAGATAGATTCTGTGAAGTGCTTTGAGACATCATCATCGTCATAATAATAATAGAGCCTTATCACTGTTGGAAGCACGCTTCCAACTTCCACTGGCTTCCTATCACTCAGAGGATACAGTTCAAGATCCTGGCCCTCACCTTCAAAGACCTCCATGGCCTTTCTCCCCTCTACCTCTGCGACCTCCTAACCCCCTACTATCCTGCCTGCTCCCTCCGCTCAGTGGGCTCCAGCCTGCTTCATGTCCCCCGCCTCGCCTGCCCCACCATTGACGGGTGGGTCTTCTGCCACTCTGCCCCCACCCTCTGGAACTCCATTCCTCAGTCCCTCCGCCTCGCCCCCTCGCTTGCCTCCTTCAAGACCCACCTGAAGACCGTGCTTTCATCACTGTCTTCCCCACTTGCCCTCCACCCTCCTCAATCCTGACTCCCAGCTCGGTTTCGAAACACTGACTGTCCAGTGCCTTGGGACGTCCTCCTGACATGAAAGGTGCGTTATAAATTTTGTTGTTGTTGGCTCAAAGCGCTTCACAAGAATTAGTGTGAAATGGTATGACTGTATGCTTGTAGGCAAATGGGGCAGAACTATTGCACACAGCAATTTCCCACAAACAGCCATGAAATGAATGGCCAATTTTTATTTAGGGGATTGTTGGCCTGGACACCAGGAGAGAAACACTCTTTTTAAACAGCGACATGGGATTTTTAACGTCCACCAGAACAGGCAGTTTAACATCTCATCCAAAGGACATCGGTTCAAGTTACTAGCATTTAACTGTCGCACATTTATAATCGAACAGAGTAGAGACATCATGAGGTGCAAGTTATATTCATTTAACCACATGGAAAACAGTTCCTGGGCATAGTGTGTTTAATATACACATCTACATCATTATGTTGTCACTCAAAAAACATGTAACAATTGAGTATACTTGTTTTTGATGATTCAGATGAGTAATATTTTAGATGACCATTTCAAGTGTGACTAGAGAAATTTTTACATATAACATGTTTAAATAGCCGTGCACACATCTCTAAGCAAATTGTCAGCGGACGCATGCTTTCTGCTGAAGCTGAGGTGCATTTGAGCCACACCGAGACCCTTCATGAGCCATATGTGGGCTCTGTGGTTCAACACTGCTGTTCAAGCTTTAGATAGCTTGCAGCTATGGTAAAAGGAAATACAACAAGCAACTTCTGGATGAGGATACTTGATAGCTGCCCTTAATTGTGTAATTACCAAACAATGAAATGGAATACTGGATCCTTAATGTTAATTACATAATTAAGGGCACTTGTAATTCCCTCTTTACATGTGTGGTTAGACATGGTTAGCGAAGCTTGCAAATTAGACTCCAATATTTGAACAGAAATTGTACATCCTTGTCAGTGATCAAACATAATTAGTTTTACTTTTCAGAGACGGAGCAATGAATTGCAGTGTGGCAATCTACATTGATTACCCAAATATGTGGAGTCGTATAGCTCAATGATTAGAGCACTCGCCTCCCAAACAAGAGACCTGGGTTTGGTTCCCGGCAGGGCAAAATGTTTGAGAAGGTTTCCTTACGCCACACACCTCTGTTTACCTGGTAGTAAGTAGGAGCCTGGTTGTTAGTTGATTGGTGGATCGCTTTTCCGGGGATAATAAGTCCTTATAAAAATAATAAATTGGTCACTCAATCGACAACTATTTGTGGGACACTGCTGTGCGCGATTGGCTACCGCATTTCGCCCACAAAATATACAGTCAATTCACTTTACAGTATATTCTGTGCCATGCTTTGAGACGTTTTTAATATCAAATGCAAGGATTATTATTGTTGATGGTATTGCGATAACAACTTATATAGTGCCTTTCATGCAAGGTGAAGTCTCAGAGCATTTAGCAGTAGCGGAACGTGACACCAAGCCAGGGAGTGAGGTGACTGTAAGCATAGTCAAATAGTCACAAGTTGTTCATTCAATATCTAACAAATGTAGATTTGTGCCATCACTGGGTGGCATAAGGCACTACTTCTGAGCCTCTTGGGGTTATTGGTGTGTGTTTCTGAGAGTGGTTTCCAGATAATGCCTTCCAGCAGCTGTTATCCCAAACCTCAGAGTTTATTCATCAACTATTCAACATTCATTTGCAGAAGGCTAGCCATTTGATATTCTTGAAGTCCATATCCGTTGCTGTGAAGAGGTCTTCTCAACATCAACAGTTGAAGGATTCTGAGATGCTACACCTGTGAAGGGTGCTATATAGATTCATAGATTCATAGAATGTTACGGCACAGAAGGAGGCCCCTCTCGACTCTCTTCCCCCTCCTCGCTCCCTCCCTTCCCTCCCCTCACCCTGACCATTTCCCCCCTCCTTGCTCCCTCCCTCCCCTCCCTCACCCTGACCATTTCCCCCCTCCTTGCTCCCTCCCTCCCCTCCCCTCACCCTGACCATTTCCCCCTCCTCGCTCCCTCCCTTCCCTCCCCTCACCCTGACCATTTCCCCCTTGCTCGGGTCATGACCCAACTGTGCAGCGCCTTGGGACGTCCTCCTGACGTGAAAGGCGCTTTATAAATGGAATTTTGTTGTTGTTGTTGTTGAGGCCATTTGGCCCATCGAGTCTGTGCCGGCTTTTTGACAGAGCGTCACTTTCACTAACCCCAATCACCAGCTTTCTCCCCATAACCCTGCAAATCCGTCTTCTCCAGATACCTATCCAGTTCTCTCTTAAAAGCTGTTATCGAATTCAAGTCGGGTCTCCTTGGAGCTGAACTGGCTCTAAGGCGACATGCTTGGCACTGGAATGTCGGAATCGAATCTGTTCTCTGTCTCAGTAGTCCGATCCTGAGCCAGGCGGATCTGCAGCATTTCAAAGCACTACTGATGACAGCACAGCCAGCCCGGCTCATCAGTGGGACCTGGAATGGCAGACCAGTCACTGGGGCAGGGAGTCATCCCACTTAGCTTCTGCAGTTAACACTGCAAGCCAAATCCCTAACAGGCAGGGTTGTCCTAGCTGGATAAGCAGAAGGGAAAATTTGCTCGACAGCAAGATCAATGGCACACTATGTGATTTTAGCTGGTTAGACTCCTGCAGCACCCCAACCCACACTCTGGGGTTGGCTCTTGCCAACCTGCACCTAACACTTTTCAGGAATTGGGTAAGCAGGATGCCCCCGTCCAGGGAGAGAGCGCACTCCATTCCAACAATCTATCTCTAGAATTTCCATGTGTAGGTGGGAGGCGTGGAATCTCAGCTCGGTTTGGATACTCGTAAGCACAGTGATGGGATTCCGCGTATATCAAGCATGCGGCTGACCAAAAAAAAGCAAATTGTTGTTATCCAATCAAGCTCCTCATATGGCTTGTGCTCACTGTGAAGCTGATTCTACTCCAGGGTGTTGAGCTACAGGTTAATGCAGGCCAGGCTGGAGCCCACCATCCCTGCAGCTGCTTCTCTTTATTTTGATCATGAATCCAGAGTTACTGCTACTTTTCTAGCCACTGATTTTGTTGGTAGGAATTGGGAGCTGAATTTTCATGGATTGGTGTAGGAGACTAGAATTCAGTAAGAGCTGGTAGTATTGTAATTATGATTTATTATTCTTCCTGAGTGGAGTTTGATGATTTCTGATTTGATAAATATTATAATAGGCAAATCTTTGTCAAGTTTCTGCTGTCTGAAGTCTGATTGCGTCTTTCGATGAGAGAAATACACAATGAGGAATCCATAGAAAGTTGCCTTTGTTTCCCTTTCTCAACTGGAGCAAGTAATTCAGTTCCCATATGCATGCTCTTTAAATCCATTTATATATTTCATACACAAATGTACAGTCAGTCCACTTTACAATATAAACAGGAGTTGCTGGGAACACTGAGCAGGTCAGGCAGCATCTATGGAGAGAGGAAAGTGAATTAGTGTTTCAAAATTGACCAAAGGTCATCGACCTAAAATCTTAACTCACTTTCCTCTTTCCGTAAATGTTGCCTGACCTGCTGAGTGTTCCAATGACTTCTGTTTTTATTTCAAATTTCCAGCACCTGCAGTATTTTGCCTACTTTACAATATATTCTGTGAAGCGCTTTGAGGCGGGTCAACGATGTGATAAGGTGTTATATCAAATGCAAACATTATTATAATGATTTTTTTAATGCATTTACTAACTTGGGAATTCTACTCAATAACTTTGGCAACCTGACATCTCCACAATAATGTGTTGTGGCTGCATACCATTTCTTTGAGTGATTTCTCTCTTGGCAAACTGAAAACTTCTGTGTTGACATCGTGCTAATTTTTCTGGATGAATATTAAAACGTGGGTGTTGCTTTTATAAGTGAGATTTTATTCATTAGATTCCATGGCTGGATTGAAAATGGATCTTCTTCAAGTCTGAAACTAACCCAGTGATTATGCGAGAAATACAATTTTAATACTTTGTTAAAATATTTTCCAACAATTATCACGTACATTTGAAGTGCTGCTTCTTCGGGCTAAAGTTTGTTTGTTTTTTTACAGTGGGTGTAATTCGCTGCCCAGTGTGTCGACAGGAATGCAGACAAATCGACATGGTGGATAACTACTTTGTGAAGGATTCCTCGGAAACGGGGAACAGCAGTAATGAAAAGTCATATCAGGTAGGACTGCCCTTTTTCATTCTGATGTAGAAACCCAAAACTGATTCAACAGAAAGCTTAAATTAGTAAATAGGAAATTGGTAAATGGTTGGGATTGACTAATCAAATGTAGTTTGGACATTCAAAATGAAGTCCTCAGTAAATTAAACAGTAAATATTAATTTGAATGAAATTAACTAATCTTAATTTAAAATGTATGCTCAGTAGATACCAGCTTGTGCTTGCTGAGGGGTGGGGTACACTGTATGAACCGTATATATAGAATTGCCAGATGAATTTAGTAAAGAATAAGGGTAAGTATTGTGTGAAATATTTTTACTTCCTCCTACCTTTATAGATGAGTGTTTTGTACGAATAGGCATAGCTTCCCGTATTCCTTGGCAAGAGTTAAACTGGTTTGCAACTTACCTGCAAAATGGTAGGTGACAGTTGAAAGTAATTGTCAAAATACATCATCTGCAGAAGAGCAAAAAGCTATGGAAAGAATACTGACTTCAGTTTGACTTTCAGGCAGTTATGTCTGAAAGACATTGCTGCCAAAGGAAGTATTTTCTTATTGCGTGCTGGGGATATCATGACTGCTGAGATGGATCAGACATGCTGACATGCATGATCAGACATAGAATACATCAGGGCATTGATGAATGCTTTTCTCAGGCTGTTGCTTTGACATTATCTCCGACACAAATGCGTGAGTTGGAGAAAGCTGTAGATCTTACCCTCTTCTAACTCGTGCCCTTGCTCTTCCAGCTGATAAACCTGGATAGCTCTTTTACAAATGTAGAACCTTGAAAATTCTCTCACCACCAACTGCAGAGGCAAATACTGTGGAATAGGTTGCATAAATCTTGTCAATTGTGCGAGGTGGTAGAGTTGCACTTGTGGTATCACACTTGTGTTAGAGCCAGCTCTAGCCTTGATTTCAGCGGTGTTCTCTGCAGTGGGGTAGAAGATTCCCCAAGAGGGATTTTGTTCAGCCTAAGAGAAAAGGAGAAACTTCAGCTAGGTGCTTACCTGTTTGAATGATACAATTTAAACCTTTTAAAGAGTTAATTTTTATGGCGAAACATTTAGTCCTGAGATGCAAAGGCAATTGGCCATTTTTAAAATAAATTCCCCATTTCCTCCTGGGTAACAGTGAAGAGAAAAGGTAAGACGAGGAAATGTTGTGCCCGCTGACTATGGAAACTTGTGTTCTGACTAACATGCTAATGAGATTGGGCAGCTTGTTAAGTATACCCTAGTTAGGCATCTTCGATTGGCTACAAATGCAGTCCCTAAACTTCACAATAAACTCCTGTGAAGTATTTAAACATCTCAACAGCTTGATCAGGCTATATCATCAGATGTTAAAATTATCATAATAATGCATGAAATTGGCTGATATCTTAGAAAGATTAAGTATAGAATTCCATTCAGAGAACCAAAGTCTTTTACAGTGAAGACTTGGAACATTAGAATATTTTCACTGAATAAATGGAAGTGACTTGCTTTATGTAGGATGAAAGACCTGCTTGAACAAGATGCTGACTCCTATCTCCTGGAGATATGTGATAGCTGTATATGATTTCCATGGAAATGAAATGATTTCCATTCTGGTTATGGTGGAACATTCATTTGTATTGCTCTTTGATCTTTCTCCCTCTCCATATAAGAGGTTCTGATCTCGCCTTTTCCCTTTTTGATAATGAACAACTCAAGGTGATTTCCTTACCTTCAAAACTGGCACAACTTGAAGGTTTCCTGTGCACAAGTTTCAAGTCAGAAAGCAAGGGCTGCCAACATTGCTTCTTGCGTGATGCAAGATTATGCACTATTCCCTGTCTCCACTATTCATTCCTCACCTTCTTGGGTAACCTTTTCCTAGTCATTGAAAAAATGATCCGCTTGGAAGTACAAAGAAAACTTGAACAGCGAAGAAGTCAAATGAGAGAGACTGAAAAAAAAGTATAGAAATATTCCCCCCTTTTGATAAAATCATGAAAGTGTTCTACTTGCAACTTGCTTGTGAGATCTGAAGATCTCATACTAGTGTGTGAGATGGCCGCGGGACCTGTTCAATAGATAGATCTTTCCCAGTGACCTCCAATCCATCCTTGTGGAGAAAGATACATTTTCCTTAAGAGGACCATCTCTGGTGTTAACTAAACTGAGGAAGCAATCGTGCGTTAATGCTGCAGCATCTGTTACATGCTAACATAAGAAATGCTAGACGAAAAAAAAACAAGGTCCATCTAGTTTGCCTTCCATATTCCTGGCGGTCACACGCACATATGTCCCGAACTCCCTATGTACTGTATCCCATAATGTTATTTCCTAAAAGCAAACTATCTAATCTGTGTTTGAAAGAATCAACACTTCAAATCTGCTAAGATCTATTCATTAATTGGTCCTTGGAATACTGATATTTAATTTTGTGTTCACAGGTATGCACAAGCTGTGAAGATAATGCAGAAGCTATTGGATTTTGTGTGGAATGTGTTGAATGGCTCTGTAAAACTTGCATAGAAGCTCACCAGAGAGTGAAATTCACAAAGGATCACACAATAAGAAAGAAGGAAGACGTTTCACCAGGTGGGGAATTAACTCGACCAAACAGCACAACTTTAATTCTGGTCTTCACATGAATCTTCAGCCTAAAGCTGATTTACTGGAAGATACAGTGAAGTTACTGACAGAATTACACCAGTAAGCATAATACACATTCAGAGGCCACAGTTTAATAGTTAAACTTCTTAGATCACTAACTCAAGAAGACTTGCTTGAAGGCCAGGACAGACTGCTGTCAACGTACAATACCACATTCGTTATTAGTTAGATATCCAATAGTGGATACTTAACATTATGTAGAGTCCTGTAGCTTACTGGTTGAAGCATTTGCCTCGAGAGGACATGGGTTCGATCCCTGACAGGGCGAAATGTTGGGCAAGTTTCTGTTTGCCACTGTTTACTCAGCAGTAAGTAGAAATCCAGATGTTAGTCATTTGGCAGATTGCTTTTCCGGGTGTATTAATGCAAAAAAAGATAATAATTTGGTTACTCAATCCATGACTGTGGGACACTGTGGTGCATAATTGGCTGCTGCGCTTTGCCCACAAAGTATATAGTCAGTCCACTTTACAGTATATTCCACAGAATGTGTTTTGAGACTTCTCAATGACGTATTGAGGCGCTATATCCAAATGCAAGGATTATTATTATCACGTAGTGAGGCACTGCAAAGTGCTTCAGCTTTCTAAATGCATTATTTTCATTAGCTACAATGAGCCCATACACGGTCTCTAACTGTGAAATTTGTATAGTCTTATTTGGGTTAAGTTTTCTCTCTTGAACAATTGGCTGGATGAGAGCTAACTTTCTCCAATTGAATGTCAACAAAACAGAGGCTTCCCTGCTTTGCTCCTGTTAATGCCTTGACACCTCAGGCGCTGATGGCATCACTATACTTGGATGCACACCAACTCACTAAACCAATATGGAACCTCAGTGTTTTGTTCGACTCAATTATCCTTTAAACCCCATATCCATCCCTTAACCAGTTCAGCTTTCCCCCATCTTTGCAACAATGCTTGCCTCTCTCCTCGGGCTGCTGAGACCCTTATCCATGCTTTTGAATCATCTCCAGGCTTGCCTATGCTAACTCTCTGCTCACTGGTCTTTCTAACTCTTCCCTCCACAAGATGCTGATGACTCAAAATTCTACAGCTCATGTCATCTTCCCGAACCAGGCTCTGAGCCTATCACCCCTTTCCTCGCCTGACCACACTGGCTCCCCATCCCCAATAGGATTGAGTTCAAGATCCTTGTCCTCATTTTCAATGCCCTCGACTGTCTTGCCCGTCCCTACCTTTGTGACCTTGTAAAACCTTAGCAACTTGCCCTTTCCCTCTGTTCTGCAGACACAAATCTGCTTCACATCCCACACCTTGCCTGCCACACCTTTGGTGGTCGTGCTTTTAGTCTTTTTGCCCCCACTCTCTGGAATTCCATCCCTGAATCCCCTCGTTTTGTCCCTTCCCTCGTCACTTTCGAGGTCCGTCTTATGATCTTTAACCATGCCTTTGGTTATTTTCCCATCTCCTTGGCCCCCACCTCTCTTGTATCCAATCCCCAGCTCGGGTGCAAACGCTCGATTGACCTGCCCCTTGGGAAGTCCTGATGTGAAGGACACTATATAAATGTAATTTGTTGTGGTTGCATCTATAATTGTGTATAATCACTTCGATACCCAGAGGTAATTTTGTCAAATGGGAGATCACAAGATTGAAGGCCCTTTGTCCAATTGGACTCATCCTTCCAGAATATCATCCCGACCATCGTTCCATTACAGCATCAATCAATCAAATCAATCCTGGCCTTTATTTTTATGTAAAGAAATACTTTCTGATAAAAAGTTCATGTTCCATCCAACTAGTGTTGGTGTTTATAACTCCACATGACCCTCCGTCTCTCCTCATCCCCCTCAATAACCCCCTTCCAATATCCTTCTATTCTCTTCGCCCTCATGTATGTATTAAGAATAATTGAAAGGAAACGTATCTCCCATTTCCTCAATTTCTTAACTAGTTTCTTTTTTAAAAAAAACTCCTCTGCCATAACCGTGGCATTACTAGTAGCTGTGTTATCTTTAGACAATTGTTCTATTGTCAGGTGCATGTTAAAGATCCTGTGATACTACAAGGAGTTTCTCCAATGTCCTTGGCCAATAATCTCCCAAATAAAATTAGTCATTCGCTGATATAAAAACAGAATGTCCCTGGGAACATTCAGCAAATCAGGCAGCAATTATGGAGAGAGGAAAGTGGGTTAATATTTCAGGTCGATAACCTTTTGACTTCTGGTTTGATGTCTTATTCTACGTTCAGTTGACTTGGAGAACCTGTCATCATGGCCTAATCTGACAATGACCTGGAATTTTTGGCCTGAAATGAACAAAAAATATATTCAGATGTGCAACCCTTGCATCCCACTTCTATACAATGAGTTTGTAAGCAGACATTTCTCTTAAATGTGGTGAAATGAATCTTGAATGCTTGTATCTTGGGTATGATCCTGAAGAAAAAATAATTAAATAATAATTTGGTCACTCAATCCATGACTTTGTGGGACATTGCTGTTCACAATTGGCATTTCGCCCACAAAATATGATCTGTGAAGCACTTTAAGATGTCGCTAAGATGTGATGCAAATGCAAAGATTATTAAGAATACTATCTCACTATTAGAATACATTAACAGGAAATAGACTTTAAGGTCCTTATTCTAATGTGAGTCAAATAATTTTTATAGTTACTTGAATTATTATTAAACTGCGAGGCTACATTTTGCTGGTGAATACGTAGGGATATGCCCGATGAGGGCATCGCTGGAATATTTCTAAAAGTGTCACTGATCATTTGAATTCTTGGGGAAAATAGATGCACTCAGAACTGTGCATAATACTAAGAAAAAAAAGGTATAATAAGAAGTGGCTAATTATGGTGCATTAACTTTGAACGATATTTTGATCGAATAGAACATTATTGTTAAATTATAACTATAATTTGTCAGGTGCTCCAAAGCCTCAGTTTAATGTCTGAGAAGTAATTGATGCAGTTGGAGAGGTGGGGAAGGGGTAATTTAGCACCTACACAATATTTGATTAAAATTTAACAGCAATTTGGGGTGAACAATTTGCATGAGGCCAGGTCTGTGCCGAGGTGTACCCACTGTGATCAGCTGGCTATAGCATTTGTGCAGAATGGCTCCTAACATGTTATTGATGTGCTGATTGTGTGACTGAAATGTCTTTGGCTAAATATTTTTAACAAAAAAACAAATTTATTTAAAATTTATGGTGTCAAAAATCAAGACAACATCCAGCACAAAAAAATAAATTTCATTCAAAAAAAAAACCTGAATAGAAGAGAATAACATCATGTGGGATGTGGTGATGGGATTGGGCCTGGGGTAACCTATCTCTCTTCAATTCCAGAGGTGATGGGGGTGTCCAGCCAACGACCTGTATTTTGTCCTGTCCATAAACAGGAGCAGCTGAAACTCTTCTGTGAGACCTGTGATAAACTGACGTGCCGGGACTGTCAGTTATTAGAACACAAAGAACACAGGTATGTCGCCATTCATTGCTCCACACTGAGTTTGTTAACGGTTTCTTAAGAGATGGTTGTGCTTAATTGTTAAGTCTTTTGTAATCGTATTTTTGAAACTTAATGTAAGTATTTGCAGTATTTGCTTCAATAGTAGCTAGCTTTCCCAGGGGTGACTTTGAACCACGATTCATATTGAGAAGAACTATTTTTACTTGAATTTGCACGGTTTGATTTGCAGGAGAAAATAAGGAATTGAGTTTGACAATCTATGAGTATCAGTATATTTGGAAGTTAAAATGTGTTGTACAAGGCAATAGGCACAATGGGAGGAAGTAATTCAATTTGAAGCAGTGCTTTAATTATGTAATGCAAGTAGATCTTTTCTAATCTTAAATGTTGATTATTTATTGTGTGTCATTTCTGCACTATGTTCCTGGACTTTTATATGGAGAGAGAATTGATTTGATTTGGTTCTGCACAATCTTTATTCGTAGTATTTCATTCTTAAGAATTAGAATTTCTTAACCTAGAACAGCCTTGTCATTTTATTAGTTTTAACACTAAGAAAGGCTTGCTCGATGATTCAACAAATGGGTAGATATTTGCATTTTCAATCCTGGAGTTGCCAGTGGCGCATACAAGATTATTTTATTCAAGACATTCTTTCCTGTCACAGTATAAAGGTACATAGATCCTCTTTGCCTCTGACAATCTTGTCTCCTTGGTCTCCTTAATCTCATTGCTGCCTTTGACACCATTGATCACCCCAGCCTCTTCCACCTTGTACATCCGTCTGGGAGACCCTGTCATTTCCTAGATTCAGACTCCTAGACTCCTGCATGTTTCAGCGTCTTCACTTTGTCTCCTCCAATGGCTTCTTCTCCTGCCCAACATTGTCACGTGCAGCATTCCTCAAGACTTTATCCTCGAGCCTTTCCTTTTCCTCTTCTACATGCTACCCTTGGTGACTATGTCCCTTGGCATGGGGGACTTCTGTAAGTATGTGGATGATGCCCAACTCTTATCTTTCTGTCTCCACCCTCAACTCCAGAACTGCTGCCCTTTTGGCAGACTGCCTGTCAGATATCAAGTCCTGGATGAGGCTGAAGTTTCTTCAACTCAACATTATCAAAACCAAGGCTGTCTGGCTTGGCTCCCGTAAGTGCCTCCTCAGCTCGCTTGCTGACCGTATTCACCTCCCAGTTGCTCACTTCCAACACACGTGCAGAACCTCAGTGTTTTGTTGAATCCTCAACTCTCCATTAAACCTTTTATCTGGGATTCCTCCACCATTACCTCAGCCACTTCCCTCTCCCACCCTCCACACCGCCCAAACCCTCTTCCACATCTTTGTCTTCTCCAAATTCAATTTTTCGAATACCCTGTTTGCCGTCTTTCTCAGTTCTACCTGCCAGCATTCTTTCCCCTTGTTTATTACTGGAAATAGCCTAGGAGAAAGTTCTGCAATATTAAACTACAGTTTTTTTAGTAAAATATTAAACTATTATTAAACTTATGATGTTTTCTCTTTTGTTTTAACATTTAACATAAATTGGAATAAAGAAGCCTTCAAAGCAATGGGTTTCTGGTTGCGTTCTGAAACTCCATCAAACTGCCAGATGGTATATAAATGGACTATTACATTAGGTTTGCATTAGCAAATACTGCACATATTCTTACTTACAAGACAACAAGGCAGCATGCAAGAGGGCACAGGTTCAGGAGGTGAAGTGCTTTCAGGACGGACACCAGGCACAAAGTATAATTAATTAATTAATACATAATACATAGTCAATCCATTTTATGATATATTCTGTGAAACGCTTTGAGAGGTCCCAACAATAAGGCGTTCATAAGACTCTTATCAAATGCAAGGATTGTTGTTATTAATGGCTGGAATGGGGTTACCAGGAAGTATGGTTGGGGCCAGGATCTGGACTCATTTCAGAAATAACTTGATGTTGTGATGGGGAGATGGTAGAGTGAGTATTCTGGAAATATACTTTGTTTGATAAAGTGCTACATAAGAGATTTGTAAGGGCAAAATAGAAGTTCACGGTATTAAAGGAACAGTGCAGCATGGATACAGAACTGGTTGGAAGACAAAGCAGAGAGTGTGGTGCACAATGTTTTCTGACTGGAGGGAAGTGTGCAGTGGTGTCCCCCAGGGATCAGTAGGGATCAGATCTATATAAATGACCTGGACTTGGGTATAGGGAGTACAATTTCCAAGTTTGCAGATAATGCTAAGAGAGGAAAAGTAGTAAATGGTGAGGAGGATAGTAGCAAACTGCAAGGGGACATAGACAGACTGGTAAAATGGGCAGATGTGTGGCAGATGAAGTTTAATGTGGAGAAATGCAAAGTGATGCATTTTGGAAGGAAGAATGAGGAGAGGCGATATAAGCTGATGGTACAATCTTACAGGGGGTGAAGGAACAGGGAGACCTGGGGGTTCATATAAGCAAATCTTTGAAGGTGGTAGGACAGGTAGATAAAGCTGTTAAAAAAGCATGTGGCTTTATAATAACAATAATATAATAATCCTTGCATTTGATATAACGCTCTTCACGTCTTCGAGATGTCTCTAAGCGCTTCACAGAATACACTGTAAAGTAAATTGATTATATTTGTGGGCGAAACACGGCAGCCAATTACGCACAACAGCGTTCCACAAACAGTGACCAATTTATTATTTTTTTCTTGAGGGATTATTATTAGGTGTGTGGAGTAAGGAAATTTGTCCAAGGTTTCACCCTGCTGGGAATCAAACCTATTTATTTATAAATAGGGGTATAGAATACAAAAGTCAGGAAGTTATGATGAACCTTTAAAAAAAATACTGGTTAGGCTTCAGCCAGAGACTGTGTTCACCTCTGGACACCACACTTTAGGAAGGATGTCAAGGTGTTGGAGAGGGTGCAAAGCAGGTTTACCAGGAATGAGGGACTTCAGTTATCAGGAGAGGCGAGAGAGCTAGGATTATTCTTCTTGGATTAGAGAAGGTTAAGAGAAGACTTGGTAGAAATTTTCAAAATTATGAGGGGATTCAATAAGTGAACAAGGAGAAACTATTCCCACTGGCGGGAGGGTCGGTAACCCGAGGACACCGATTTAAAATAGTTAAAAGAAACAGAGGGGAAGTGAGGAGAAATTTTTTCACAGAGCGAGTTGTTCAGATCTGGAATACATTGCCTGAAAGGGTGGTGGAAGCCGATTCAATAACAACTTTTAAGAGAGAAATAGATAACTATTTGCGGAGGACAAGTTTGCAGGGCTATGGGGAGAGCGCGGGGGAGTGGGATTGATTTGGAAGCTCTTTTCACAGACAAGATGGGCCGAATGGCCTCCTTCGGTATTGTATATTTCTATGATTCTGAGTATGAGATCAAATGGGTTATAGTTTTTTGTCACTCAATCCGCGATTGTTTGTGGGACACAGCTGTGCAGTATTGGCCCGTGTTTCGTCCACAAAATATAAGGTTAATTCACTTCACAGTTTATTCTGTGAAGTGCTTTGAGACTTCTCAATGATGTAATAAGGCACCATATCAAATGCAAGGATTATTATTATTAAAATGTGTTTATTGTGGTTTCTTTAAATAAATTATGTGCATATAAATGTTATATTTTGTTGGGGTAGGGGAGTGGTACATTTTAGAAACGGGTTATACACCTGAGCTGCACTCTGGTAAGATTCCCATCTGATGGTTTCTACAAGTATCGACCCAAAGGAGCGCCAGGCGGTTTTAAAAACAGGTCTGAAAGGGTAGTCTGCATGTTCAGAGAAAAAGGCTTTGAGGGTTTTTTTTAATGAGAGTACAGAATACAGAATGTGTGGTAATTGCTTGAAGGACTTAGACCAGAGTTGAGAGTGAAAATCGAGCAATAACTGCAGGAAGAGGCTTAGCAACAGGAGAGATATGCAAGGTAAATCCCCAAACCAAATTACAGATTAAGGACCTTAAGCAAATCTGCCACACATGTGAGTCATTTTGCCGTGTTCTTGCAGTCCTTTCTGCATCCAAGTCCTGCTAGGCTGTTCTTTGAGCGGGCAATTAATTTTGCCGTGTGCTTGCATGCCTTTCTGTGTCAAGAGTCCAACTGTGCTGTTCTTTGTTCTTCAGTTTCATTTAATTGGCCCTCTCTCTTTCGCCTGGCATTTCTATTTGTCCTTGAAAGGGTTTATCTTTGCTTCTTGGGCATCTTTGTCCCTTAAGGTTAAGAAAATGTGCTATTGAACTTGTTAGCAGCCCTTGTTCACATATTTGCACACATCCTTTTGGGAGGACTCCTGTGGGAGGACTCCTTTGTTGAGAGGACTCCTGTGTTGAGAGGACTCATGTTGGTAGGAGTAAAGAAATAGGAATAACCTTTCTCCAGTCCCCAGGCACTCTTAAGTATTTGATGATTTCTAAAAGGTTTGTGCCAGAGTTCCTGCAGTTTCCTCCCTTAGTTCCTTAAGGATCCTTGGATGCAATTTATCTGGCCCTTGGGATTTGTTTACCTTAGGTTTGCACAGCTGTTCAGCAACCATGTGATGTGACTCGTGTCGCAACATATCTCTACAACACCCTTGAGTTCTCTTTCCAGAATTGCATAAGTTAGTTGTCTCCTCCTTAACAAAAACTGAGGCAAAAAACTATTCAGTACTTTTGTAGCCTGTGTAGCATTATTTGTCATGTTCTCACCCTTCAATGGGCCGATTCCATTCATCGTTTTTCTTTTTCGTAACTAAAAAACACTTTTTATTGTTAACCTGCAAATCTCTTGCCATGTTCAGTTCAAAACTTTACTTTGTCCAGCGCCTTGGGACGTCCTCCCGACGTGAAAGGCGCTCTATAAATGGAATCTTGTTGTTGTTGTTGTTTGCCTTTCTTACAATCCTGGCATCGCTTCTGGTAATGAGTCCAATCCTTCTTTCCTCTGCCATTTTCCTTCATTGCCTAAAATGCCTTTTATTCCCCTCTTTATAAGTTACTTGGTGGGCCTGCCCAACCAGGCAGGCGTGCCTTTCA